ATCTTTCATTAGGCCATCTACTAAGGTTTTTCTTGCATTGTGATACTTAAATGAAGTCACAAACCCTTTGTGAGTAAAACTAGGAAACAGTAAGTACTTCTGAGCATTTTTTCCTTCAAATTCCAAAATGGCAATCAGTCTAGAATATTGTTTTCATAGAAAATTCATGAAATTGATAAGAGCACCTTTTGCTAGAGTCCGAAAAAACAAATACTACCCGCGACATAAGAAAGCAGGGCTAATTATACCGCTGTTTGATATCTAGCTAACTCCGCCCACTGCCACGCCCTCATTTGTTGGACGCCTCTTTTTGAAGAAGTCCTACAATGGTTATTGCTATAGTTATCGTTGATTCTCTACCTGCTTCGCAATTTTTAGTCGCGTGAAAGCACCATGTGGCGAACTCCGCCTCCTTTCACGCCCCTTTATGTTATCTGCTTTTGTTGGGAATCCTTGAAGCCATTGTTTTTTCGCGTTATGTACTAGCCTGAGATAGCTTTGCTACCATGGCGTTTGAGGCTGCGTCACTCATATTGTAAGCGCTCATTTTTATAAGCAGCAAGGCCTCTGTGGGAGGAGCGTCGTGTGGCTAACTCCACCCCTGCCACGCCCCTTCGTCTTGCTTGTCTTTCTAGTCCAAGAAGGAACCTCGCCAATCGCCATTATCTTTTTTATCTGCATATGAATAAATCTTGAAACAGCAATTTCTATCTAATCCAAATCGCACAAAATTTTTCCAGAAAAAACGCTAGCATGGTTTCTTAAAGGCTTTCGTACAACGAAAATTTTTTGTGAGGAGAAGCGCAATGTGCCTAACTCCGCCCACCGCCACGCCCCATTTTGTGATCTACAGCTCTTCTTTATAGAGGAAGACTTGGAATCGCACCAATTCTTTTCTAGCTTTTCTATGAATCCTAAAACAGCAATTTTCCAGCTAATCATAATCACACCTGGATTTTTCTCTCAAAAAACGCTACAAGCATGGTTTTTTCTCGGTTTTGCGTCATTACAACGATATTGCCGAAGCTCACGTTTATCCGTAGAGACGTTGAGAATTTTCTGTGTGGGAGAAGCGCGATGATGAGTGCTTGTGTGCCTCATCCACACTCGGTGGATGCGCTCGTTGTCCGCGGTGCTCAGGCGCTCCGCTACTGTGTTTGCCCTTGCCAGCGGTTGAAGCCCCGACCCTCCAGACGGGCTCTCAACGCTCTCGCGGACGCTCTCCGTGCTCTGGCTTGGCTTTGCTGATAAGATTGGATTGATTTGATTAGCATTCTATTATGTATCGGGTTTTGGTCTTCTCGAGCCAAAGTTTGACCGAATTCTTTGAGAAAACTGAGCTTCTGTGGGATACCTGATGTTTTCGTTCAATATGTTTGGAAAATCGTCAAAAATCAAGCTCTTCGAAAAAAAATTGGTTTTTGTGTGATACTTCCTTTCCCTTCAAATTTTTTCATCCAGATTGTTCAAAAAATTGTCGAAGAGATACTCATATTTTCTGTTCCGAGGAACCTTCCGAAGCTTACATGAATTTTTTCCTCACACAAATGTCTTCAAAAATTACTCTTGCTTTCCTAATCCCCTTCCTTCACTACCCCGACTCTTATGGTAGTAAATAAAGGGCTATTTAGTTTTACAAATTTGTTTGTTAATTTTGCTCCACAGAAATGTTTGTTCACGCGGCAATCATGACTAGAACAAAATTACATTATAAAAAATAAGTGCTATTTGATAGGAATTCGTGAATTTGAGAATCCTTTACTTATACCAAACAGCAATGAAATTTTTTTTCTTGTGGGGAGGGAGAGAAGAGGGCAACAAGATTCTTATTCAAATGAAAATGCGTGGTTTCAGCTTCTCGAGTTCGTACCCCGAGGTTTTGGGAGAAAGCTCTAAGAATTTTTTAATGCAATTATAAATAACTTCAAAAGTTTCCACGGATTATTTTATTTTTTTGGCAAGTAAAAACAATACACTTGCACAATTAATGATTAGTCTGTTTTTCCAACACGTTCCACTGAAACTACTCCAAGTTTCCCTTACCTTATCCCTCTTCTCCCTCCCCTCCCCCTTTTCCTCCTCCCAGCAGTGTTTTAATTTCCTTATGAGTAACCTGAAATTCAAAGCGAGCTTTTATCAGCTGGTAAACAACATGCTTTTATGCATATGTCGTGTTTGCATTATCTTACCTATTTCTTGGTTTTGGAAAGATGAAATTTCAACCCTAGCTAAAGTAATTTGTTTGGCTTCGCTGTCACTTTCAATATTCAGAATGAAGAAATATGCTTCTAAAAAGAGCATAACAACTTGGAGAAAATTAAGAAGATTCTGAAATTTTTCTCATCTCACGTTCTAGAATTATATTCAGATGATTTTGTATGATTTCTGACGTAGTCTTTTTTCTTCGTAATCCTGCAATTTTAAGCATAACCAATTCAATAGAACTAGTCCTGATGTAAAAAAACTTCGTTATTTTCAGCATGCTTGCTCTTCCCTCCCCCCTCTCCCTCTTCCACCACTTTCATACCACAATCCAGAAGAAATTGGTAGCCATTCTGAAAAAAAAATCCTTTACTCAATCTCGTGCCAGGACCTGCCCGATTGAACTAAATAAGATCAAAAGCTCATAGCCCATTCGTAGTCCTTTTTGTCGTCAACGATTATACCCCTCCCCCCCCCCTCTCCCTCTTCCACCACTTTCATACCACAGTCCAGAAGAAAATTGATACTCAGTCTGGAAAAAAAATTCTTCACTCAACCTCGTGCCAGGACCTACCCCATTGAATCAGATGAGATCAAAAGCTCATAGCCCATTCGTAGCTCTTTTTGTCGTCAACGTTTATACCCCCCCCCCTTAACTAATCGCGGCATACGCTATGGCTTTCTAATGAAACTACGCTGCACGGGGCAAGGCATGTGGTAGTGATTTGAGCTTTTGCCTACGAGCGGATCCGTTTTGCACGTCAACTACGGGGCGAAGCCCCGATAGTCTAGCGGATTTGTGCTCGATTCTAATCCAGCTGAATACAATCTCCTCATGCGATAGATTCTTGTGATTATACCCTGCAAAACGCGCTGCTAAGCATTCACTTATTTCTTCTTTATTTCTTTTTTCTTGTGATATCGATTGTATTTTTGCATTTGATAATATCAGCGCAATATTGGGACCAGAATTTCTATTGAAAAAAAAACGCAACAAAATCTACTTGTGTTACATAGATGATTTTCTTGTATTACATAGATCTAACGCTGAGCAAGTCAGTAAGTCTCCTGAAAAACTTCCTAATTTTCTATGAACGCATGTAAAATTTGTAAACTATGTGAAGGGGGGGGGGGTGTGAGCCACATTTTGAAAAATTTGTAGAAGGCTAATTTTTGTTTGAATGTTTATGAAAACAGTTGCTTGGAAGTAATGGGGAGTTACTTGCACAAGTTTGAATTTCATATGTAGCACCGTTCGAAAGTTCAAAATTCTGGAAAAGCCTTGCCCTTTCTAATTTCTCCTACCGTACCCACTATAAGCACACAACCGTCCATATCTTCGCTTTCATCAGACGTAACCTTTGATGTAACTGGCTTGGCGGCTGGAAGGCAGGGCTTTGTGACCCTGTTAAGGTCGCTCGCGCCCGCTACGCAATCTGCTTCTCTCCCACCTACGTGCTCTCTGGTCTAGCCTCAACTTGGTTGACCCCGCCTTCCAGCCGCCAGGTCAGTTTAATCAAAGGGCAGAAAAATCAAATAAGTAGATACAATTTTGGTTTTTCAACAGGGTCTTTTGTTATTGTGCCAGGCACTAGCATAGAACTTTTCCTACAAAATATCACCTTTTTTAAGAAGGAAAAAGAAAGGCGGAAACTTTTTGATGAAAGCAAAAGATGTAAGTGTTATTGGTCTTAGTCATCAACACAAACAAAAATGTGTCGACCAGAATTGAAGGTTTGTAAACTGTGAAAAATAAGAGTTCAGATAGAGTCCACAAGGCATTTACTCTGAGTCTGAAGCCCTATGCATTAGTCGCCTTACCTAAATACACCGTTTGCTTTGAATCAAATCATGGTGAGTTCTGTTTTTTCAATCCGTTTGCACCTGTTTTCTCAATTTTTAATAGTTCTTTACTAGAATTTGATGAAAGTTCAAATAACTATGTTCGAAATTGAATGTGTTTGCTTATATCCTTCAAAAACTTGAAAATAAGTTCGCTTACACTGTCAACATGATGAAGGGCTCTATTGCTCGCAAGAGGCTTCGGGGATTAAGTTATAGGTTCTTCTGATAGATTCTGACAAATGCGCAATAAGCCTTCTAGTGTCATAAGCTTCGATATACCTAGCTTAATTCCTTTTCCTGCCTTGCAAAGCCAATTGTTGTTCATACCTTCATAAGGACTTGTTTAAAAGGTTAGGAATGAAAAAAATGCAAATAATTTTTTTTACGCACTAAAAGACTGACTTTGAAAGATTCAATTTCCTTTCATTTGGTACAGTATCCTACCATATGACGACGTACCGGGGGCGCCCCGCCCCTCGAGAATGGGTCGCGAAATTTTTTAAAGTTACTTACATGAGTTATAAAAATATGTAAGTGACTTATCTATACTTGTAAATGATTAAAATAATTTTTTAAATTTTTTGAAAATTCGATTTAGCCTTATAGAATAGATTTTTCCGGACGCCGCGCCCCCTCCTTTGGGAAGCATACCAGATTTTTTCGGGGTGCGTGGCTAACGCCATGTACTTCCATCAAAAAAAATTCCGCCCCCCCCCCCCGGAACGGAAACCCTGGGTACGCCACTGCACATTACATATGAAAGTTTGCTCATCCATTTTTTTCTTATAGTGAAAAAGAAAAGAATTTTGCAGTTACGACTTCTACACAGTCACCTCTTCTGGTCCCATTGTTTTTTGTGCTACAAAATAGTTCATCGCATATATCGCTATTGCTTGTTAATATGCTTCGCACTCGTTTACTAAAGTCGAATATCTTCTTGAAATTTTTCTAAAATAAGATTTTATAGGGGGTTATATGGTTCGACTGGGAGCCTGGCTGCTGGCAGCCATACTCGTGGCCGTGCTTGACTCAGCCTCGGCCACAAACTGTTCGGCTGCTGATGCAACCAGAAACTGTATCGACGGGCTGATTGTGCCAATTTGGTAAGTTTAGGGTTTGAAGGGTTACCTGGGTAGCCATAGGACCACTTATCCGATTATTCAATACTCGTACCAAGAACCTGAACCACTACACGTAAATAAGTTGACTACTGAGGAATGATTAATGGAAGTATAAAAATGCAGTTTGAAAAAGGAATGAATTTTCGCATTTCAAAAATTGGAAAACACTGGCGTTAAGGCGCATAATTCAACCATACCTGAGCTGTGAACGTGTTTAGAAGCGTTGTCCTAATGCGGCGCACTAAATGGTAGGCATTTGGCATCTGGTGTCGCGTAAGGCTAGTTTGAAAACGAATGCATTTGATCACTTATTTATCAGTGAACAAACACTCTTCTCACTGAATAACTCTATTTTGAGAGAAGGAAAAGAAAAACATCGTTTACTGTAAATTTTGTAGACTCCACGTTTTATTTCCGCTTACGCTACACCAAATGACAGATGCGCGTCATTTAGTGCGCCGCAATTCCCAAACTGTTCAAAGGTTTTGCATGGCCCGATTAGCCTATTTTTCATGAGGTAATAATGTCAAATACTTTTAGAATTTTTGAATGCGGAAAAAGTAAGCCTTACTTTTTTATGTGATTTTTTTCACTTTCTTTTTATATCGGACACCAAAGAACCAGGAAAATTGAGAAGATCCAATATCCGGTATCTTTCCACTTATCCTGTTCAAAGCTCTCAAATATCTCTCACGCATAGACCTAAGGTAAATAGTTTCACGTTCGATTTTTTCCAAGGTATACCTGACAATGTTGAATTGAAGAGTTCATTTGAAGAGAAAAAGATCAAAAAAATTCATTTTGTGATCTCCCGCGCAAGAACTTCGCGTGACTCATTATTTTGCAATCAAGCTGCAATGAAGCAATGCGAAACAGATGTTGGAGGGGTTTCGGAGACAGCGGGACCTTTGGTGTCGACTAATTTTTAGGTATTCCTTTTGTTCCCTTCTCTTTATGACTTTTATGAATTGAGATGGTACGTAAATAATCTGGAAACAAAACCATTTTTTAACAAAGGGGGGGGGGGGAAGAGAGGGGATGTTCAAAGCATGAAAAATCAAGTATAATTATTCACTTGGAATTATGTATAAAGCAGGCGCCATACTCAACCTTAATAGCTTCGGAACCAATTAAGCAAGTGCTGCGTACTAAATCACAGGCACTTGGAATTTGATGTGGCGTAAGCGAAAAAAGAAGCTTGATGGAGCTTGTTATATGTATAAACGTAAAGAAAATCGTTTTTTTTTTTGGAAAATTTTTGCTAGCACTGGGTTAAATTCAAACGCGACACCAAGTAACAAATACCCGCCGTTTACTGCGCCGCATTTGTTTTATAAGTCTTGAGGCTACATCTGCAGGTAAGAACGGCATTTGCTTCAATATCGCTAAATTGGATAACGCTAAAAAATGAAGAATCTCCACGTTTTTACCCAGCAAATGTTATAGGACTTTTTAGTTTACGAATCTATGCCTTACGAATTCTACTCATGCCTCCCCCCCCCCCCATCCTTCTCCCTTCTTTAAAAATGGCTGATTTTATCCTTTTTCAGGCGACCCTATGTAGATCTATCAGCTGGTGATAAGATCACACGTGGTATCATCTATTTCTTCGTCATTGCATACTGCTTTTTGGGCGTATCCATAGTCGCCGATCGTTTCATGAGCAGTATTGAAGTAATTACAAGGTAAGCGAAAAGTCACGTTGCGTTTAGAGTTGCTCATGTGCAAGCGCCGTGCCAGCACCGTGCCAGTGCCCGCATGGACGCGACCGGTGTTGATGGATCGACTGCGCTGGCACGGCGGCAATTTGCGCTCAGGCAATTTCAATTTTCTGAATGCAATTTTAGAAAATTTCGAACCTAATAAAAATCTTTGGTTTAGTATGGAGCGAAAAATCATGGTTAAACGACCAGGACTTGATCCTATGGTAGTACATGTTCGCATATGGAATGATACAGTATCTAATCTGACCCTCATGGCTTTGGGTAAGTAATTCGGGATTTTGATATTAGTAAAGTGCGAAGTCTCTAGTTTTTCTCTTTCTCATTTATTGAAATTAATAAATGATTTATCATTTAAATAACAAAATCAATGATCCGTAGCTTCTCAAATTTTCAAATCAATTTTGGAGAATAATTTTGTTAGATGAGAACGCAAAGGTTATCGTTGTTAATACAAAACCTAACTTCTAATAATTTTTGAATTTTTTCTTCTCATTTGTTGCTTTTTGGAAGGCATTCTGCATGGTTAGTATTTTTGACATCAAATTATGAAATTCTCTCAATTAAGTTGTACAAAAAACAGCCGCTTATTCAAAATTGTACCTTTCTATGTTAGTACTTTGCTTGATTTTTTTTTCAGAATGTGACCCTCCAAGCATACTTTTTCTTTTGAAAATGTCACAAAAAAGCCCTAAAGCCACCTTTCAATCAGTTTTTAGAATCATTAAAGTTTCTCCCATTCCCCTTTTCATTATCCTCCCCCCCCCCCGCCCTCTCCCCTTCGTCCCCGTCCCTTTTTGAGAATTCTACTTACTGTATCTGGAGCGATAAAACTGCGCAGAACAATACAACATTGATTGCCTTCGAATCTTGCCTTTGTTGGGGGATAACAAAAAAATTTCATTATAAAATTTTTGGAAAATAGATTGTGGACCATCAATATTGCCTTTGACTTCTGGAGGTAACATGTTCTTCCATGAGTTAGTTTTCTAAAAATAAATTGCCTTTAGGTTCTTCGGCCCCCGAAATCCTTTTGTCTATAATTGAGGTAATTTTAATTTCTTTACCCTTTGCAGTTCTGAATATTAAGAGTCCATTATCAGATTATTGCGAAAAAATTCGAAGCCGGTGATCTTGGACCGAATACGATCGTCGGATCGGCTGCGTTTAATCTATTTATGATTATCGCTATTTGCGTTCTAGTCATTCCCCCTGGGGAAATTCGTCGACAAAAACACTTGGATGTGTTTTTCGTCACAGCTACATGGTCTGTTGTTTTTTTAATTTCCACTTTTTTCCACTGGCTATAAGCTTAATTTATTTTTCAAGGTCCATATTCGCTTACATTTGGATGTATATCATTTTGGCTGTGATATCACCCGGAGTAATTGACATTTGGGAAGGACTACTCACATTCGCTTTCTTCCCACTCACTGTATTTACAGCATGGCTTGCTGATATCAAGATTATCCAGGTAGGACATTCTTATCAATCAAGTGATGAACATTGAACATGATATACAAGCGAAAGCGAAAGGTTGTGAGATTTATTCGTGACTGGAAAACTTCGGCTTAGAATGGTAATTATGTAGATCTGAGATTTAGTAAGGTAGAAAGTACGGTCTGGACTGGAATTTAGAGCTGGATTTCTCTGCCACAAACTGCTTTTGAACACTTTTATTCAAGAAATATGGAGCTGGTGTAATTACACCACATACACAGTCTGGGCCTTATTTTAGCGCTATTGAGTGCCTTGAGGGCACTTGTATAATATTTCGTGCTGTGATCTTTCATCTTATGCAGTCTGGTGCGAGATTTTTGACGTAATTAAAAACCGAAGCAGCGCTATTGCTAAATTTGAAATCATAATGAGAACTAAGAAATTCAGCTTTATTGTCCGGAAACCCTTAAATTTCAACAATAGCTTTTGTTTCCTATTTCAAAGTTGTCCTCTCGCTTCAGAAACATAGCAGCCAGCTGTTACATCAAATCTTGAATTCTTTCTAATCAGTTGTGAAAAGCTGAAAAATCAAAGAAACAAAAAATGAAAAAAAAAGAAAAAATGACATGAAAAAGAAAAAAAATGCAAAATTATCCTATTCATGCGCATTATTCACACTGTTGATTAATCAAATTTCGATGTACCGGCTAGCCATCGAATAACACACTTGTTTTTCCTCATGGTTTGACTGGTGTTGTTGTTTATAATGTTTTTGGAAACATGACAATGATTCCACAGTTACCCTGATCTTGAAAATGGTACACTTACACATAGGGACAGTTAGATTGAGGACTACTGTATAAGTTTTGAATTATCGTCAAATAATCTGCACTCTTAGAACGAAGAAATTGTAAACTTTTACCGCACCGATGTCCAGCATAAAAAACATGCGCTACCGTTTCCTTTGGACACTGTGTTTTTTTCCGCAGTTTTTGCTTATTCGAATCCATCCGCAAACTCGCGTTTGCACGGCAACCGCGCGTTGCGCACGTTTTCGTCAAAGATTTTGCCGCTTAGATGTTTGTTATCGGCGATGTCTTGTGATGGCACGAAAAAGCTCCATTTGAAGTGGTTTCCTAGGAGAAGAGGCTTGTGTAAAAACAATTTTTTGATAAAAACTGTTAAGTTTCAGAACCGCTTCCTACCTCGCCGTTATCGTCGCGGTTCTCATGGAGTTATCGCCACAGAAGGTGAAGAGCTAAAGATGTTGGAACATAATGGAATTAGCTCAGCATATAAGGACTTTACCCAAGTGAGAGGGTCCCACGAGGAAGATTATGCAACTGAAGGGTTATCTTGGAATTTCAGGCTGATCTGGTTGACCCAGCAGTTCGTGCATTCGAAGAGCATCGTCAAGAATTCATTGAGCTGATGAGAGAGATCCGTAAGAAGAATCCGCTTATCACACCCATAGAATTGCAAAAACAAGCTGAATATGAAATGATTAATAGGTGAGAAGATAGACTGAATATTAGTCTTTTTTGTGCAAAATTTTTTGAAGCTACTCATGGTTTTTTTTCAGAGGACCAAAGTCTCGAGCATTTTACCGTGTTCAAGCCACTCGACGCCTCATCGGCGGCGGTGACATCGTCAAAAAAAGAATCGACAAAGAACACAACAAAGCTGTTGAAGCGGTAAGCGTTCAAGATTTTTGGGCACTTTTTTCATCCCCGCATCTTTCCCATTCTACGAGATCATTCTTCGAAGTTTTTCGACTTAAAAAAGACTTATTTTGCCATAAATACGTAGTTATTTGATTACATATAGCGGAGAGGACGGGCTTTCAATGGATGAGAAAAGGAGCTCGTCAGAAATAACATATCAGCATAAAGATGTGAAGGGAAATTGATTTTTCTTTGCCATTTGAACAATGCTCCAAGTAAAGCCGCATTTTTCACAAGAATTTGAATTTTGTAACGTTGCGAAAATGCTAAAACCCGAATTGAAAATTAGCCACTTGTTCAGACTTTTTGACATGGACGCGGAAGAAAAAAAGAGCCCAGCTCTTGGCTTGTTTGCAAATTCGTGATTATTAGAATAGTCTGGATAAACAGGAAAGCCCTCATTTTTTTTATACTACAGGCTTCAAATTTTTTACACTTCTATTGATTAGATTTTGCCAAAAAATTCGTAGATATCATGAATTTTTCAAAATAGCCCAGGCTCCACCTATTTTTGTCCCACTTACGCAAAAGAAGTAGTAGCATATATATACAAGCACTCAATTTTTTCCGATGAAAGGTTAAGTTTGAATCTTAACTGGGAGTTTTTTTCATCTTTTCAGTGTCGTAGTGTTATGAGCTGAATAAGCCTCAAATTTATTTTGTTTTCTAAATTCGTTATAAGATAAATTCTATGGCCATATCATCCGGAGTACTTACTCAATACTTGCATTGAGATCAATCTCCTTATATACATATATCCATATTCGCATGTGATCCCTCCACATCCAACCCATTCCACAGCTCCAGCACGCGGCACGCCATGCTCAATGGATTATAACTTCAACCGTACTAATCGCATCCTTTAGACAGAAGGAGACATATTTCAGTTAGTGCAGGCACAAGAAAAGCAGACACGCGAGAACACATGCAAAATCTACTTCGATCCGGCTCACTACACCGTTCTGGAGAACATCGGAAGCTTCGACGTCGCTGTCGGAAGGTGAGTTGTGCAAATGCACAAAAATTTCGCTACCGTAATGCAAGTGGAAGTTAAGAATTGAAGTGAATTGAATCTTTGTCAATTGGGCGCTACTGGTCATGATTGATTTCGAAATTTTTTTTTCTTAAAAATTGAGCAAGGTTATTGAATCTTGTCAGTGCTACGGAAATTCAAAAATCACCTTTTTTTACAGAGATGGTGGTCCAGATGGTCTTACCGTCATGGTTGACTACTATACCGAAGATGGTACTGCAAATGCTGGATCTGACTACGTTCCCGTAAAAGGAACTCTTACCTTCTACCCTGACGACAAATTCCAGGTAACTTTCCGAAAATTCCGTTTTATGGGAAACTACGTCTGTTTTTCTTTAGAAAATTTCAATCGAAATTGTTGATGACGACGTATTCGAAGAAGATGAGCACTTTTACCTGCATCTGAGAAATCTTCGTGTCCGCACCAAGGACGGTCTCATTCTTGACCCGTCCAGAATTGGTGGACTGCCTGTGGCCCAGCTAGAGATGCCAGCCACGGCTACCATCATGATTCTTGGTATGAAAGTTGCAAGCTTAAAATTTCTAAACTTTTAAAAATGTGATTAACTTCAGATGACGATCATGCTGGTGTTTTCGCTTTCGAACATGACCATTTCCAAATTATTGAAAGTTGTGGACATTTATCCTTGAGAGTACAAAGATCTTCGGGAGCCAGAGGAAAAGTCGTCATCCCATACAGGTACGATGATGTGGTGAAAAGTAGATGTAAAAAAATTCAATATACAGTTCGTTTTTGCATTTCCTTATACTTTTTGAATATATTCTGAATGAATTTTTGCAGGACATCAGACGGTACTGCCATCGGAGACAAACATTATGAAACCAAAGAAGGAGAAGTGGTATTTGACGATAATCAAACAGAGTAAGTCTTCACCTCACACAATGATTTCCATACTGCTAAAAAGCGTAAGTCTCGTCTGCTAATCGAATAGGGCCTGATTACTTTCTAATAGGCTTTTTGAAGAAAGTTTTGAAATCACACAGGGTTACATTACATTTGACAAGGACTTTATGTTCTACTATCTGGCATACCCGGCTCCGCCCGGCCTTGTCAATACACTATAATAGAAATCACCCTATCTCCGTACAACATTTTCCTGTCTCGTTTTTAACTCTGTATGTCGGTCTCTGGCCTATATTATCGTAATCAGCATGCTCGATTACCCCTCCTCCCCCCTCCCCCCCCCCCCCAACTCCCAACCCTGTAGCAAACTTTTATCGCTAGGATCGATAAAAGTAATAAATATCTTCAAAATCTAGTATTGTATTCGTAATCAATATGCTTGTTTACCCTCCCAGCTCGATAGCTCAAACTTTGGATAAAATCGATAAGATTGATTTCGATCGATAACAAAGTGTACCTTACTACGTCCCGTCCCGAAGGTTTGCGCAAAGTTAGGTGATCGGTTCAGAAATGGAATTTTCTGTGAGGAGCATACGCACAGGTACACACATACATACACACCACATAAAAGACATCAAGCTTAACATATTAGAAAGAATAGTCGAATTTGACTAATTTGGTTCAACGTTTGGTACAGCGACAATGCTCATAAACCCGAAGAGATGATTCTTTTGAGGGTAAAGCTTCTTCCTGTCGTCGTTCCCTTGGCTGCGAGAATCTATTTGAGGGTACTGCGCCATTGTCATTGTAATTATATAATAGAGGATGATTTGTATGCAACGCACCTGATAGTATGAAACTTTTGCTCCATAAGAGCGCAGAGTCCACTAACTCAACAATCGAGCTTGTGCGTGTCCTGAACTGCAAGTCTCAGTTTCCGAAACGAACACGATCTGCTATGTTTCATGAAAATCGTATTGAAAATCACTTTATTCTTTTTATCCACTGTGCTTGGTTTCTTCAACGTTGGCATGCAGACACGCTTTGGGATCCCATTGCATTCTTGAAATGATGTTTGTCCCTGGCGTATAATGTATATTGATTAAGACAACAAAATCTCTCAGGGATTAGGTATACCTAAAACTGAGTAAAAAATGATTGAAGTTGACGAGACCTTATCCGAAAATCTGTTGTAAGACAGCAAAACGTAAGCTTTAATCAAAATTCTCAAAAATTTTTTACATCAGAGGTATCACTGTCCTTTTACAAGCCGAAATCTCCTCTCTTGCGAGCAAATCGCGTCGTTAGGAAGTCTATTGCATTGATTATATCTCTTTCCGGTTCCGTACTTTTTTTATTTCGGTTTCAGTATTAGTTTTTTTTCAGTTAAGCCTAGATTGGAGACATCTACGATGGTAATACTATATTTCTTTCGCGTTCAAATTCAGCATTCGCGAGCCAATCGCGCTCTGTTCGGGAAACGCTCTGCTCCTGACGTCACGTAGTTCACGGACGACACGACAACGTTTGCGTTCATCTTGTACTGAAGAGTAGCGCCTATGTGTTTAGCGGTGCAGAGCCTCGGCAGCAGCCGCAGAGGCACTCGGCGCTTGGCGTTGACGCGCGCTTTCTCGCTGCCATCAGCTCTCAACCTCGGTGGCTGAAGTGGTTGCTCAAGTGCCCCGAATACTAGCTAACAGAGCAGAAGCCAACACTGATATTACTCGACCAAGTGCTATTGCAGGGGTTTCGTGCCACGCGTGTTTCGGGGATTCAGTTACAAAGCTCTTCGGGTTACATAACGGTGCTGTATAACCTCCCTCAAACCTTAGATTTGGCTGATCTAACACTTTTGGCTGTTTTGCCACGGCTACGGAACTGCTGGAAATAAACTGCACCTCGACATGGGAAAGGCCGGTCTGCAAACCGTTTAGCTGATGTGTAGCGTTGTTTACATAAGTCTCATTACAATATCTACTATTGAGATTATATTAGGTTGGCACATAAGTTTTGCAACTTTTCGCGTAACTTTTTTCTTATTTTATGTAGCAATCTCATTTAGTGACATCATGTAGACCGTGATGTAAGCTGCAAGTCTGCTCAAACGGTTCGATTTTTGATAACGTGGTACAAAAAATCTAAGCATTTTTGAAAACTGCTGAAAATCGAGGTTTCACGATTTTTTGGCAAACATGAAGTCCTACGAAACCTGATTCAAACATATGAAAAAGTAATTATAGGCAACATGCAGCTGGAAGTTGGCACATTGGAATTAGTGAAAAAGAAATGCAATTTAAAAACAAATTAAGGTGGGGCTCTTTGGGAAGTTGAACAAGTCAAATGCGTCAAGTTTTGAAGGCAATTTGTCAATAATTGAGCTGCAAAAAGTCAGAATTTGCTATAACTTTGCACTGTAGGGTAATCCTATACGGTGAACACGAAAATCATATTCATTTGTCGCTAAAATGAAGTTCATTTTTTTGATCTCACGAACGAGGCCTTTTCGTGCGAAACGGATCTCATCTTTGTGATCAACATATCGAATAAGCCCTGTAGGTCAAGTTTCAGCAAAATCTGATGCATTCTAAAAATTTTCCCATAGTATCGTAAACCTACCGTAATCCTTATATAACATGGTAAAATTCGGCATAAATGTGTGCATTAGAAGCTTACATCATAGTCCTTATATTGCTAAGAAATGAATGTGCTACGTTCAAAGAAACAAAAGTTATATAAAAAGTTGCATTACTTATGTGCCAACCTATTATATGAAATGTGGAAGGAAAGAGGGAAAGAGGGCGGGGGCTGCTTCTGCCGGCGAGCGGAGGCCATGCTAGAGGTTGGATATGCTAGATCAACTCGCATTCTGAGCAGCTGTTGATGTTAATTGTATCCTGACAAAGAGCAACTCTAGTGTGACTCGTGTTTAGGTTGTCAAGGTTCATAAACTTCATATAACAAGTATGCGAAATACGAACAAATGAATCTACACTGATAACTGCCTAGAAAAGCACACTTCGACAATTGCCAAGGTTAGGCGGTATCAGAAATACAGGAAAAAAGGTGAATTCTGGTCTCCATTCTCTTCCGGAAAAGTGGGTACAAATCTGTTTTTTTTTGTTGCTCAAAATGCAAAAATAGAGGGTGATGTCACCAAGCTGGTTGGCACAAGCTAATCTATAAAGATGCGTAATTTGTTGCAAATGTCCGCACGAATACCCATAAGGCGCGTAATTTCCTTTACCCGAAAAGAAGCGCTATTTTTGAAAAAAATTGAAGTGGTCAATAACTAGCCTACAAAAACTCGTAGACGTTCTGCACAGCGGAAGATCAGCTAAAGCACATATTTCGTGGTCTGTACTCAGCGATAGTCTGAGTAATGGTCGGTCTGCGCAAGTTAATATGCGCAAGCCTATCACACAAGAGGTCCAAGACGAAAGAGGTCGGAATGAGAATAAAAGAACGACGGCGATTGCTTTTGCTTCCGGCGGGGCTCGCTAAAGATGCGACTCCAGAAGCTATGAAGAAAGAAGACCCATCGCTTTATATGGAGTTCAACCCTTCTTCCCCTCTTGGAGCTCGAAATTGTTGGGACTGCAGAGAACGGAACGGTGAGGTAGTATTGAGCACGAGGAACTTCTACGGCAGTGAAGAGGAAGAGATGAAAAGGCGATGTGAAGGGGAGATGAGTTGCTTATGTGAATAACGTAAACAAGGCGTTGGAAGATTTTTGTTCCGAGGGAGAGAAAGTAAATGTTAGTATTCGATGATGGGCGAGAACTGTTCTTAACGGCCCATCAAATTTGAAAATTTCGGACGATTTAGACGATTTTCTTAGTGCTTTTCCGCATCATTCTGGAAATACCGGTCCACAAGCCACTTTGCCAGTCCTTTGTCAGTCTGAAGGAAATCTGATATGGGAACAAAAATTAGTAGCGCTTTAGCAACAGTCTCAGTCACCAGCACTAGAAAAATCAAAAATCAATTATAAATTAGTGTTGGGAAACAAAGACTTTTGTGAGCAATGGTACCATAATCAAATAAAGACAAATTATTTGCTGGTAATTTAGGACATCTCGCAAAGATGATACGGCCTACAGTGGCATGAGCAAAGCAAACATTGCGACTTTAATCATGAATTTATTCCTCGCTCGCCTCACTTAACTTACAACCCTGATAAGTTCTCTAAATGTAAGAGAACCGGAAAACATTTCCGTCTAATGATTGCGAGAATATTCCATCATGTAACAAATTGCTTTCATAGTCTTCTTAAGAGATTTTGTAATTCTTTGCAATCTCAATCGTTTATGTTGAATAGAAAGCATTGCGCGCAAAAAGAGAAATGGGACGCTTATGTGAGCGAAAGCCGGCAGTGTTTGCGCTACGACCTCAAAATATAAAATTGTTGTAGTTCTACCCGGTTTTGAATGGCTGCACAACAGGTAACAAGCAAATTTGGAAAGTTTGCGTAAAGAAGAGAAGAGAAAGTTGTTCTTTCTTAACACGTTGCTTTTGCTTCGAACCAGCAAAAGACCTTGTGAACTTGCCAAATTATTTTACTTTTTCTTTCCAAATTTCCTTATCGTTTGCTTACAGGGCCTTCATCGATATTGGAGTTATGGACACCGAGCAGTATGAACGATCCGATTACTTCTTCGTCGAACTTGCCCCACCAATCTGGGCAAAGAAGATGAGCGGTGCGTGCGTATTCATTCCGAAGTTTTCTTCTGCGATTGAGAATACTACTAGCTGGAAAGAAGTTGTGCCTTCTACGAATGCCTCTACTTCTTTCTTTCGCTATCGTTTACCTTAGCCTAGACAACTTCAAACTTAGTGTTGTGTTGTTTTTTATATATTGTACTATTGTGCACTAATTTTGGTGCATCCGCAGTGTGTAGAAAGTCTAGGAGCTTTCTATTGCAATAATGTGTGACACTCAGGATTGTAAACGATGGAGTAGTTTTTGGGGAGGGTTGAAACTTACCAAAGATTTCCAAGTGCCAAAGTCTGCAAGAATTGGTCATTGCTCGCCGTCTGGAATTTTCGAGCATTTTGTACTATCAAGTGTAAAAGGTGCCGCGAAGTGCCGCAATTATTACATCTTCTACCCAAGACCCTCCCTAGAGACACTCCATCAGATCCACTTGTGCTAGTGAAACAGAACGTGAGCTACCTAGGAACCACGAATGCCTTAAGCTAAATGTGTTGTGATTGTGCAGATCTGAACAAAGTGCAAGAACGATTCCAACGACGTATGGAACAGAAGCGCAGAGCATCTCTTGCATCGGAAACAAAGGATGGCAGTGAACCAGGTTAACATATCGGTCTCTCTCTCGCCTCTTGTATAGCCAACATCAAACCAGTATTTTCATTAATCCTCGTGTCCTGTCTTGCCATAATGGCAGTCACGCCGTTCATGTCTCGTCGACTAATTTCTATTTGTGCAAAATCTCAACGGTGTGATATTTCGAATTGGCACGGTTTTTTTGCACATCGATGCCTGCACCTGACAGATGTAGTGTGTGGCAGTATTGACTTTACCATCTCCCAAAATGATCTCCTCCAAAGGCAGGTCCAAGCCGAATCCTTTCGAAATGTTTAATCCAGTTGAAGTTGATCGATGATCAGCCATCGAAAATTTTTGCAATTAAAAATTGAATCGTTTTATTTGAGCAAGGATCGCACGATGGATGTTTTTTGTGCATCGAAATGAAGTGTGCCCCTCCGCTTAACTCAAACGAAAAGAAGAAACTAAGCTCAACCGAAAGATTAAAATCAAATCAAATACAGTACAAATAGTGGATACGCAAAGATGACGCTAGAGGCATCGTAGCAGTTTATAGCCCTCTTTGGCTAGCAAGGTGCCAGCAAAGAGTGGTCCTGCGGCGAATTCTGCGGCTTCACTATCGTCATCGTCTTTAAATAGTGCGGCAATCACTGCGGGCCATTATGTTTGAAGGGTTTGGCTAGCCATTATGTTATGTGTAGTTTTTCTTTGTGGAATGAAGGAACTACGGCTATAGTTCGGTCTAAAATTCTTAGCTGGTAGACAATCGATTAAGATAATGAAGACGGAGTTGAGCTCAGTATTTTGAATTGCACACTTGAAAGGCTTTTGTACGTTTTACTAGCGGTACTTGTTTCTCCGTCAAAGAGTCGCTAAGGCTCCGAAATTGGAATTTCTGCATGGACTTTGCCTTTGAGGAGTTCAACCACCCACTGTCGCAAACCTCAAAAATGCGGTGTTGCTGCAAAAGATTTGAAGATTATCAAAGTAGTTTCCCTGAACAGCTGTAACCAAGAAGAAACCATATTTTCCTGTTTTAGAATCTTAGTTAAATGAGCAATTTTTCTAGTCATTAAAGGTTTTTCATTTTCTAAGCTTGTGTTACTTGATTGTTTATCTTGAACACTTTCATTGAATGCTGCAAAAATTCAAACTATTCTTTCACTATGTTTCATTTAAATTTCTGAGTTAGAATAACTTATGAACCAAGGCAGATTTTGAAGTTACGCTAAAAAAAGTTCTCATCTTTTCAAAGCAAAAGGCAAATAGCGCATCTACATTAATCAAACGTTACATTCTATACAAAGCACGATCTGCACAAAAAGTTTTTCAAAACCTAGCACCTAGCACACCTTTCCTTTCTATCTCACCTGTATTCAGAAACTTTCCAAGCACTGCCTCTAGGTCAAAGGCGAGCTGCAGCAACGAGGAAATTTGGATTTATTCTGAGCATGGACCCTAGTCAGCGAGCCGTATTGGCGTCGCCTGGTCTAAGCTCACGATTCAAGAAACGCATGAGATCGTGGATTGCCGGCATGAAAGGTTTTCCTTCCTGTATGACTTGACCAACGTCCTGCACGGCTTTGCTATTATCCTACTTGCACTGCATGTTGTACATGTTCGCTATTTGTATGAGTGCCACTTATAACATGGATTGTCTGCTGGAGAAGAAGTCTAAACAGTTTAGTTACTTAACCTAACATATATCAGTTCCCACATGCATCATTGTTTATTCAAGGCCCATTCACAGAGGCGGATGTTGCTTTTGCTTACGAAAATTTTAGTTGGCAACTTTTGCTACAAGGTTTGGTACTTTTATAGCCCTTGTTCAATTTATAATCTCAACTGTTTTCTTCCTATGAAAGTTTAACTGAGAAACTCAAAAATGTGAAGTTTTTGATCTCTTAAACACGGGGCCGGACATCTTTGATATGCTTAAAATATGAAATATATGACACGGGTAGAAGAAAGAGTTTGTTAGATGAAAATCAGTTGTTGATTTCATTTTTACGTAAGCGCCATCTCCTCTGTTGAAAAAAGCTTCAAGCATATTTATCTGCTTTCAAATGATTTTTTCTAAGTTATTCTCACTCTTTGCAGGAGATGACATAGCTGGGCTGACAGCCGATCAGATAGAGATTGCTGAAATGGGTAAACCACGTTTGGGTGAATATGCAAAATGTCAGATTACCATTAAGGAGAGCAAAGAATTCCAGGTAGGATCGGCGAATAATCTCGTCTTCCGCTTACATATAAAACTCATGAGGTGTGAAGAAACAAAGTTGGGGCAAAGTTGACAAAAATTCGGCGGACAAAATAGCAATACTACCTTGAATAACAGAAAGTGCTTTCACATTTTGATACTATTTGAAGGCAGCGTCCACAAAATCGCCCCACCCATATTAGCGTATACCTGTCAAGCGTACCCCAGGAGTATCCGATCTGCGTTGGTCGATCCTTCGATGTAACCTCTAAAAAGAAGATGCGGGCGTGTGATATGTATCACAAACGGTATCTGGTATCAGAAACAACCCCATGAGCACGAGTGCTTACGCAAGTGGTGCAGGGTTCTTGCCGCTGCAGGAGCTTGATCGATCATGGAGGGCACTGCACCTATGCAGTTGCAGCTCCTCCCCGATGGCAAGCCGAGGGCGATGTACAATCCGAAACTCGTCCGCGCAGGGTCCTCAGAACCGGGTTTTTGAGAGTTTTGAACAATTTGAACCTTATAACTGTAGTCGGGCGAAATGTTGGATGGACGCAGCCTTTGAACCTACGCGATAAGTAGGAATGCATCTGCACCGTATTCCAGCAAAATAGCTTGCCAATAATGCAGTATTTCTATTGATTTATTCAACTCAATGCATGTAGGAAAATATGTAGACGCCTGTGATATGTTGTGCAAGAGCAAAAATCATGGTCAATACTTTTCAAAGATGCTAGCAAACATCTGCAATAACTTCTGTGCTGCAAACTTGCTGACAATTTCCAAAAAAACAAAATAAATACAATGTTTGGAATTTCAGGGCATAGTTGATCGTATGATCAAAAATGCTAATACCAAACTCATGCTGGGAACTTCGTCATGGAGGGAGCAATTCATAGAAGCACTTACAGTCAATGCCGGTACTTTATTTGTTTACTGAGTATGCTGTAAGAAAGCCATTTCTAGATGACGATGATGGCGATGATGAGGGTGAAGACGAGGAAGGTGGTGGTAATGAAGCGTCTGCCAAGTCGCCGCCGACATGTTGCGACTATATCATGCACTTTATGGCAATGCCATGGAAACTACTTTTCGCCACCATCCCTCCCACAGGTATGCCTTCTCTATTCGGAACTTGACCGTGCTTATTGCACAATTATTTCCAGAATATTGGGGTGGTTGGGCATGCTTCGTCGTCTCCATCTTCATGATTGGTGTCCTAACAGCCTTGGTAGGAGATCTGGCATCACAATTTGGTTGCTGGGTTGGATTAAAAGATTCTGTCACCGCTATCTCATTTGTAGCTCTGGGTACATCTGTGCCCGGTGAGATCTTACTGGACTCACTTTAAAAACTATCTTGAAGTTTTAAAAGACTCAAGCCTGTCTTTACAGACACATTTGCATCGAAGGTATCCGCCGTGCAAGACAAGTACGCCGACAACTCGATTGGTAACGTGACTGGATCAAATGCTGTCAACGTTTTCTTGGGTATTGGAATCGCCTGGTCTGTAGCGGCAATATACCATTTCTTTAATGGTACAAAGTAAGCGAAATGCAGCTTAATTAAGATCGTTGCTCAGTACCTTTTTCCTTTTCCAGGTTTTTGGTCGATCCTGGAAATCTTGGTTTTTCCGTAATGATTTTCTGTGTCGAAGCGTTTGCCTGCATTACCATCATAGTACTCAGGCGAGGAAAACTCATTGGAGGAGAACTAGGTGGTCCAATGAAGTACAGGGTAAGAAAGGGTCGCGTATCTCTTCACTTCCTTTTCCATTTTCGGTGTAGTTGCAAAAAAAACCACATGTCGGCAAGATTCTCTTTGTAGGTGCTGACATCGATGTTCTTCATCTCGTTGTGGCTGATCTACCTGACCTTGTCGGCTCTCGAAGCCTACTGTATGATGTAAATTGGTATTTTGTAGGTGATGACGTCAACCTTCTTCATTGCATTGTGGTTCATCTACTTGGCTCTGTCAGCACTTGAGGCCTACTGCATCGTTGAAGGCTTTTAAGCGGCAGATTTAACTTTAGCCTACAAAGGATGGATCTTTTGCGAGCGGTCAAAACTTCGCTGCTCAGCGGATATTCTCCATATCGCTCTTCCATTCAGTTTCGCTTATGATTTTGCAAAGCCAAAGTGTCTTACTCTGGAAACAAAATCTCTTCCACTGTTTTCGTTTTATTTAGGTTGAATAGGAAATTCTCTATCAAAGTACGTGTACGGCTAGTCGTGCAAGATGATGCAATATTTGCTCTCTTTCTGTACTTTTTTACTTTTGATATATTCGTTTTATTGGTTGCAATGGTGCCTTCAGAGATTATATATTTACGAGATTCAAACATCATAGATTCACAATATTTTTCCATTGGTTTTATCTGAACTTCTCGCGTCTTCCTACTTTCAGGGTAACGCGCGCAGAACAACTTGTACCATTTTACGGGTTTCAGCCTCCCGCTTCATCCTAACAAGCAGCTCTTAGATATTGGAAACCGAAACTAACCGTGTCTATTCTGCTAGATTAGCACACCACTATATAGGTGTACGCGCTAACAAATTTCACACGAAGATTTGCTAAAAAGGTTAGATGAGGATTGAAAGGAATCGTGGAAATGGTAAATGTTGACAATTCTGCATTAACTCGATTTTGGTGCTCGCTCGAGATATCTGAAACACTTTAGTCAAAGTCATACCCAAATCCTCCCAGAAATTCGCTTAGTGCCCAGTTTTAGTACTCTTCCCTATTAAGCATGCATATCTCCTATAGTAGTCAGCCCTGCTCAATCAAATATGAGCAGTAGTCCAATCGCCCTCAGTTCAGTTTCTCAAACCTCTCTCTCCTATATTTCGTTAATTTTGTTGCAAATATTACGAACTCCCATCTCGCCTTTGCGTTTAACTTGTGATTAAGATTTATTGAATGAATATGACATTGTATGTTTTGTTGAGAAATTATGTTGTGCGTCACTTCAAAGCTAGCATGGTGATGCGAACAACACGTCGCATGAAGTTCTATTTAGTGATGTAAAGTTCAGAGTTTACGATTTCCCCTTGCTCAGTTGGAGAATTCTGCTATTTTCTTTCTATTCTCCGTCGGTTTGCAATCACAGCTTTTCAATGACTGTACAATTTGATACTGGCTCTTGCAAGGATTATGATTATGACAAGGTGCGGAAAAGTAGCACGTTGACACGATTGGCAAGATTACTATGTACACCGGTCCATTCGTCTTTGTCCGAAACTGCACAGGGCGTACTTATCGCTTGTGTCGTAGCAAGAGCACATTTTCGTGTTACACATTGCCTGTACGGATTGAGTTGTTGTATCAGAGATTCTTCAACGGATTGCCTTTTGAAACTCAAATATACTCCACCGATCATCACTCGCAGCATTAGGGTGCCTTCATCCGCGCCGGCAGCCTCCGCTAGCCGCCTGTAGCCGCTTTTGCGCACTATCCCAGCATTCCGGGGCCTTTCCAAATCGTTAAAAGATTAGCTATTTGTAATCAGAATGCCGAATAAACCCACTAAACCAAACTTGAGCAAGATTTGTGCTTTCGATATTGGCGGCCCGGATACTGAAATAGTGCGCAAAGGCGGCTAGCGGCGGCTGCCGGCGCGGTGTGGTACCCTTAGTAATAGAGAAGACTAAACCGTACAGAAAAAAAAACGTGATAACAGTGCATTAGGAAGCGACCTCCACCAAGAGAATACGATTGTCGACAATTCCACATGAGCCATATGGGCACAAAATGTAAGGGAAAGAGAGCAACAGCAACAGTGAGCAAAATATTCCAAGGCCGCTGCCAGTGTGCTATCTTGGGTTCATCTAGAATTTGAAAATTGTTGCAGCGCAGCTGCTCAAGCATCCAACTTTTTTAGGAAGCTCGGACTTGAGCTGTATAGGGAAGTGCTACAGTACGTTTAGACAGTATGCTATGAATTCTTTGGTCGCGACTACTTCCGGTGCAGCCTAATAGAGCGGTGGTCTCCTGCGAAGTCGCCAAGACATTGAATAGTGAATAGTAGAACAACTGACAGCTTAATCGTACCAGTTGTAACAGAACTAGAATATCAAGAATCTTTTGATTAAAATCAAGTAAAAATTTCTCACCTCGTCTTGTGACATCGAGGAAAATCTTCTTCCACGTGGAAAAGTATAAGTAGGGTTGGCAAGACGTCTTCAATAGTTCAAAGTTGTGGATTAAGAACAATATCTGGGATGTCGATCGATAAAGCTGAGTTGTGTGATAGCTCGTTTGCCATGCACTCAAAGAATTAAGGAAATTGATGTGCATGTGTAATTGTAAGATATACATTGTTTTTCTGCTCAACTTTTAAGCTTATTCGCCTTTATTTTTTGGAAACCAACCACACTTATGTTCTTTTAAGCTTTTTGGTAGTAGCGTTACTGCGGACAGCTGCAACAGATAGGTAAGATTCAAAAAAAACCTAAAGTACAGAAGCATCATCATTGTGATTACCATGTCGGATAAACTCTGTGGGTCAACTTTCCGCGAATTCTGACATTTCCAGATATTGGGCACCCAAGTGAGGTCATTTTCAAACATACTTTGTTTCAGAGGAAATAAACTACTTTTTTTGCTTTTAGAATTAAGTATTACTACTTCTTTGCCCACATAAGAAATCTCACTTCAAAAAACTTTCAAACTATGAAACTAAGAGAAAGCCAATATCTCGTTTGTGCCAGTTTGCTTTCATTATCTCAGAATAGAGAAGGCCATTCAGGCTCAAACAACTTTCTTGATAATTCGAGGTTTAGATCAAATATATATTCTTCCCGCCTTTCCTCACGATTCACGTACTAGCGCAAGCCTAGCATGTTAACCGTAATTCAATATTTTCGCAGTATTTTCCATTTGCACAGGTAAGAAAAAACGTCTATACCCTTTTTAGCAGAAACTTAAATAAAATCTCTATTATATACAGAAGAAGGGTTAGCAGTGGCAACGATAGAAAATACACAGACATTCAAATGCTTTGAAGTTAGTTAATGGGTGTGGCACAACCCTTGAAAAGGCATGACACTCCACAGCGTTTCTGGTTTATGCTACACCCCATTAAACCTACAAAGGGAATTTTAACGGACAAAGTATATACACTTGGACAGCCGAAATTTCGTAGTTTTATAGAAGTGATTAGAGCTTGTTTTGTCTTCTTTAGAGCAGTAGCTAGTGGAAGCACCATTGTAAGCGGAAAATAATACTCAGAGAGCTTTTGACTGGCTTTTGGTTCCATAATTTGATGGTTATTTGAAGCAGGAATCATGATATGGGCAAATAAGAAGTTGTGTTTTGTATTGAGTGCAAAAAGAGGTAGCTAATTCACTTTTCAAATGTTAAAGTTGAACAATCGAAAGTGAAAAACAAATGGAGAATGACCGTTTCACTGGGTGGCCCAATATTGGGAACCCTCAGAATTCGCTTATACTTGGCCCGCGGGTTTTTGACATGATAATCACAAATATGTTACTGATCATGATCGGTAGAGCCTTTATGTCATGCCTACTCAACCGATGATGGAGGGGAGGTGGGGGGGGGGAGGGGGCAGGCATTCAAACCAAGGGGGTGATGGCATCGCATCGGCGGTGTGTGCAACATCTCTTGTCGATCTTGGTTAAAATTTACCTCAGGGCTGTAGAGTGACGGCTTTTCAGTCTCCAACAAGCAACAACTGTACAAAAGAGTTACTCAAAGAAAAGACGAAAACAATGATCGAGGAAAGAAAGAGTTCATATGATATTTACAGCTCTATCAAAGCTCCCAATGTTTTAAAGGCAGTGTCCCACCAGACTGGAGGTATCTGGCTCTCGTAATGATGTAATAGTGGACCCCCTACGTAAGCGATGACTGAAGTTCGGAGCGAAAAAGGGGGCTACAAAGCCTGAAATTTGCTTCGAAAGTATGCCGAATCTTACGGTAGGATCGGGCGAGTGCGAGGTGCACGCAGGGTAGAGACGCAGAGTGGTTGCGAGTACCTGCGCTCATGATGTGTGCGCTAGGCTGCGTTCATACTGATCCCGAAGTTCGGGAACAGTTCCAGCACAGCGCTCAAAGTTAGCGTTGTGCTGAGACTGTTTCCGGATTACGAAATCAGTATGAACGCAGCCTATACGCACTCTGGCCCTGCAAATCGATATTGCCGTGTGCGGCGTTCGGCTCTACCGTAAGATTCGGCCCACTTTTGGAGCAAATTTCAGGCTTGGTAGACCCCTTTTTTCGCTAAGAACTTCAGTCATCGCTTAGGTAGAGGGTTTACTATTACATCATTACGAGAGCCAGGTACCCCAAGTCTGGTGGGACGCTGCCTTTAATACCAATAAGGTTTGAGCCAAAAAATCGCGTAAGAAATTTGAGCGATTATGAGAAATGAGGAAATCATGACTTTTTAACGTTACTGTGAAAGCAAAAATCGCATCCGTCGCCAATCTAACAAGGGAAACGTGTATAGTCGAAGTGGCCTTTTCAGATAAGACCCATACTGCTTTGGGGAGTATCGCACATTGATTCCAAATCTGTCTTCATTGTCTACCAAACGAAATCGCCCAAATTTGCTAAAATAGTCCTATGTCGTGTATCAGAGCGGTTCATGCAAGGATACATTTTGCCTAATATGCCAATACTCAACATTGCTTTATCGAGCGTTGGAAAGATTGTGTCTATTGTTTTTACTTAAATTCTGCATCCATTTTTCATTCCAAAACACGGTCATAACCCGGCGTCCAGAGGCGCTAGGCAGATAGTGAAGGCAGATTTGGAGCCACTGTGCAATGCTCTTCAAGGTGGTATGAGTCTCATTCAGAAACGCCACTGCGACTAAACACGCTTCCCTTGTAAGTTAGCTTGAAGAAAGGATAAGATCGTGTTACTTTGCACAGAAAGTGAGTTTTGTTGCAAATTTTAAGGGGAAAGGCGCGAGGGCCTCACGTGCAGCGTGTCTGGGCATTTGCGATAGTAACACAGCCATCCGCAAGAGAGCGCATATACTTGTGCGCTAGAATCGCAGTCATCCGCGGATGAGCGGCAGCGATGGGATACTCAATACCTCGCCATCCGCTGACTGCGCGGGTTTTGACGCCAACGTCTAACTGCGCGGGAGCTGCGCGTTCCAGCTGTGTGAAAGTGATTTATCGAGTTGCACTGGCAATTAGCAAGGAAATGCACATCATTATAGTCTTCGGAACACTGAATATCCACTTTCCAAATCTGCGAGACGGTCGTGCAAAGAGACTCACCTGTTCTAAGGACTTCGCTCTGTCTACAGAAGAGTACTGCTTATTATGCACTAACTTGCTTACCCGGCTCCGCACGGCCCCTGTCAAAACACTGTAATAAAAGTCCCATCCCTAGCCCTGTACAGCCTTTCCCTGTGCCCACTTCTACACTTCATTTCCCGTTCCCTGTGTTGTTTTCGAAATCACATGCCCACATACCCCCTGTGCCAATTCCCAGCCCTTCAGCTCAAATTTTGGAAAAATCGATAAAATCAATGAAAATAATAGGTAATACCAAAAACTAATTGTATTCGTAATCAGGCTCGATTACCCCTGTGCCAACCTCCAGCCCTATAGTTCAAACTTCGCAAAAATTCGATAAAATCTATAAAAGTAATCGATTTTTCGTATAGTAGAAGTACTTCTGTGCCAAACAGGTTTGTTAGGTGTTCCTTTATTTCCAATCACGGCCTAACGTTTCGACGCCTTTCGTCTTCCTCAGAGGCCTGAAAATGGCTCAAAGCGTTACCCGAGAAACGAAAGGATGGCACAGAAGTACTTCTACTATACGAATTATGCCAGGTTTAAAGAAAGCGAAACTTTCAAATTAATCGATTTTTATTTAAAGTAATTTTGAAAACTAATATTCTATTCGGAATCGCGATGCCCACTTACCCCCTGTGCCAACTCCCGGCTCTGTAGGTGAACTCTGCAAAAAAGTCGATAAAAATCGATAAAATCGATATCGATCGATAACGAAAAGTAGCCTATGACACGCTTCCTGCCCCGATGTGTATGTGTGCCAAGTTTGGTCCAAATCAGTTCAAAAATAAAAATTTCTATTCCGCACATACGTACAGACATACAGACACACATTCAGCTTTATATATAAGAAGATCATTACTGTGAAAACGCAATCAGCATAAACTGCAGGTGTTCAGAATTTGATATGATGTTTGGGTAGAATACAAATATTTGCAAACAGCAAACAAATGCTACGGCTACCCATGAAATTTAAACCCGGACCTTATGGCTGAAATGAAATGCTCTCCCAACAGCATCATCAACATTCTATCAGTAATGCATCATTACCCGCAACTTCAACCGTAGACAAGACAAAACCTGTAAAAGAACCGTATCTCTTTCACAAGTTTCACGGATTTGAAAGCAAATATGTTATCAGTTTCCGGAAAGGACTTTAATGATGTACATTCCCTTGCTAAACGTCAGTGCGACTCTGTATCTTTCCTTTGTGAAGTTTTTCACGTTGACGCGATCGAGTGTTATTCGTGCTCTTGACAGATTGTGCTTGTGATCATACTGCAAAATCTGCAGTTTTTCATTACTGGTTATTTCAAATAGTCAAGATCAAGATTAACTCTGCATGGTCCTTTGAAATCTCCAGCATACTGTTGCATGTAAAAATCTTTCCATCCCCCAAATGATTTGAAGTTGCTTTTCTGAAAAGATCGTCTGTTAGTAATGCAATTGAAGACGTATATATAGCTCACTAGTGTTCCATTGTTCGCTCCCCAATAGGCCCACCAAAGTTTTTTGTGCTTCCATTTATTGAACTTTTTGCCAACAATTTTGTTCCAGTTGTTTTCATTTGTATAGATTCCCCACTTAACACCCATTTCCTGAAATTCAAAGAATTCATAGATTAAAATTCTCAGAGTTGTCCATAGTCCAATCAATATCTGACAGTGGCGGACCGAAGGGGGAGGGGAGTCTCTTTCCCCCTCTTTCCCCAAGAACAGAAATTTTTGAAAATTGTTTACACGGGATACAAAAATGTCCAAGTGACTCGTTTTACGTGTGAATTACTAACAATTTCTATTTTTATTCAAAATTCAAACTAGCCTTGTAAAAAAATCTTTCGGTGGTCCCGCAAAAATATTGAATCATCCCAAAAAAATTTTCAGAGTGCCTAGGACCGCCTTTGGTATCTGACAGTAACAAGTACAATACCATCGGTGCCGCCTTTAAAATTTGAAATAAACGCGATGCGCGTTGAAAGCGCCGCAACCCCATGAGTCCCCTAAAAATTTCAAGAAGAGGGGAACACATATTCGGAATCATGTCCTTCAATCTACCTGAAACCATATTTTATTTTCGTAAACTCAAAAGTGACGTCACGGCAAACGTCGCGGTCCTGGGATTTCTAGCCCATAAGTCGCTTTATAGCTGGAAATAGAGATTCGCTGCTATAAATCATCAGATACCTTGGAAAGATCTTCCTTTTTATTTTTCATGAAGTGAAGTCTAAAACTTTTTTATTCTAAATAAAAAGTTCTTTTGTAGCTGAGCGAAAAGTTAAAAGTTTAAAGGACCATAATTCAAAAATTTGTGCCCATAGACAAATCATTCAAAATCAACAAATAAAGCAACAAATTCTCTATAAGATTGTTGCACTACTTATTTTCACGGGTTTTTATGCGAGATTTGTAAGCCCGAATCCGGGTGCACATGCTCTAATTGTGTGAGACACTAATGTAGGACCACTTTCAAAAGACCATATCGTAAGTATGGACATGGTGACGTGCAAAAATTTTTGAATGTTGGCAAAATAGGCTTCGCTGATCAAGAACTGCATGAGTTTCCAAAGTAAATAGCCGCACCGAGATAAACAGAATCAAGATTTACGGATTACAACCTTGGTTTTGACCGTTTTCTGTACCTCTCCAAACACCATAATTGTTACATACTCTGAATCTGCACACGATAAGGTTTTCAAAAACATATAAATTAGTCCCTCTATCGGCCCAGAAAACTGGTCTGATTTATTATCTGCCTCTATTTGATCCACTAAGTGAGCTTGGGTGCACCTGCACCCAGTCGCGGCACTGGCCTTTCACACCTCGCAGATGCAAAGGTGCGATTTCTGTCTCAGAAACAATCAGACCATCGATCGACTTCACAGGATAACTCATCTCGGTCAATGAAAAGATGACAAAGTCAAGCATGAGCTTTAGATCTAGTGGGATAATTTAACAAAAAGGGATTCTACGCAAATTCGTGAAAATTTGAGGATCCGCTGTTTCCAATTTCACCGTTTCAGTAACAATCACTACACAAAAGTTTTCCGGTTTTTTACCCTGCGAAAAAAGAAAAATCTACGGATTGGAGATATCCGCTTTTCCTCACATGTTCATCACTTCTTAGGAACTCTGACGTAAACTAGGTGGTAAGTCTCGTGAGGGCGCAAAACTTTATAATGAACGAAGATGTGCGAAAGCAAAGGCATACATAAGAATAAAGATAATATGCTCTCGAATATTTTAAGAAGTCCTCAAAACAATGGGCTCTACATTGAAATCCAGCGTCTGTAAGGAAGAGGTACAAACCTTGTACTTAGTTATTAATTACGGATCAACCCAATATTTTAGATTATTCATATGAAGATTTTGAAAATTCGTTTCTAAGCGAAATGAAGCTGGTCTCATTCAAACAATTTTGATTCCAGAACTACGTTGAACTTGAGTTGTAAGAATGCGCAAGTGACTTGCAATATTTATAAACTACTAGAGTAAAAATTCTAAAGATGCAAATTAGCATTGTGAAAAATAATTTTTGACAGAAAAAATTGGCAAAGTGCGTAGCTAACGCCACGCACCTTCATTCGAAATAATTTTGTCTCTCCCCCCCCCTCTTCCGAACGGAAATTCTGGGTGCGCCACTGGCTTGCTCGAAAAAATTGAATTTATGGGATGACTATTCAAATCGTAACGTTCAGCATATTCTGCGTTCGATAGGGAAAAAATCGAAGTGATATTCATAGCAATAGTTGGAAAAGGTCAGGCGGAAGAAAGTACCCACATCCAATTTATTACACATAGCATTGATAAATTTCCGGTTAGCTTTGATATCATTTGGCCAATCGAATATCTCTATGTCCAGAAATATCCTTTCATAATGAACATTGTAGGATTTCAGACGGTTTATGGTGGTCTCAACCTGCAAAAAAGTTCTGTTCATTACAAGTTGTTAGGGTGAGGTTTTTCTGACGTAAAGACTATTTTGGGTGGCAAAATTCTTTCGCATCACATGCTGCCACAGAATGGACATTGCAAAAAGTTCAGGACACCGTTCAATAAAGCAGAAGAACTCCACATGATGATGTTTAGGCATGCGCACAGTGATACACTCGTAATCCATAATTAGCTAGCACCCGGTTCAGCTTAGTCCATTGTTCACTTGGTCAAAAAAAGCCAAAAAATCACTTTTTCAGAAACATGTTGATTTTCTCTTTTTTTTCGATTCTCCTACGAATTTCAAACTTAGCATGTCGGGAAAATCGTAGATTTTTGAGCTGAAACCAGGGCACGGCACAGGTGGCTTAGCAAGCAAGCTGGATATCGTTTTTGGGGAAGACCATAACGTTTTCTTTTGACCTGCGGCCGGCACGCTGCCGGCATGCCGCTAGCAAATAAACAAAAGGTTTGTTTACAGCGAAGTGAGGATGAAATGACACCAAAATAGGTGTGTAGATGGACAATGGGGAGTTAGAACTAAGTATGAAAAATTATGAAAAATTATGTGAACTAAAGGCGTGCTCAACTTTTTTCGGAGTTAGGTGGCTTTCAAGCCACCTGGATAGCCACCTGAGGTGGCTTAGGAAAGAAAAAGTCATAAATTTTTCCTCCCTCACACAATTTTTCTACTTTCTTTACATACTTTTCATCTACATCCCAAACCCTACAAACTGGTTCCTGAACCGCCTCAAACCCCCTTCTCCCCGCTTAGTTATAGCCCCTTGAAAATTTTGAATGGCCGCGGAAAGGCTGCTCTAGGCGCGTATTGCTGCACGATGGATACATCATGCCGCCATTCCGGAAAATATGAATATCATCGCGTGTGTTCGATGATTCTTTTCCGTTTTATTCTGCTGTTGCTTTGTTCCGTTCCTTTTCATGTATTTTCTCTTCGAATATCTCGTGGCGGATATCGTAATTTTATTGAAGTCAAGGGGGACTTCGTTTTTTGCATTTTCAACTAGCCACCTCGTGCCGAGCCCTGGCTGAAACCTTTGATTTTTAGCTCTTGAGATATTCGAGTGTCTTTGAAGTTTTGCTCCATGTTTTGAGTGGGCTACAATTTATGTGGAATATTAAAATCTCTTGTTCTTTGTTTTATTTATTAGCGCTTAGCTCTTTTCTGGTGCTCGACCTGACACAGGAGCATGTGATGTTACGAAACTTTGTGCCGTCCTGATATCCAATAATATCCGGTGTGCAAGCATATAGAATTGCTAATTGTAGCAAACCACAAGGTGTTCGTACCTGTTCTTGCGGAGATGCACATTTTTTTGCCAAACAAGGAAAAATGTAGGCGCTGACGTTGAAGCCAGCTGGAATCATAACGATGTTATAGCATATGGAGATAAAGAACATAAAATAAAACACTCGTAAAAGTATTTGCAAACTTTGGATCTTTCAAGCGGAAAATCGAGCAACCTTCGTGAGCATTCCTCATGTTTTGCATACCATGCTCATCGAACTTTCCCAAACTCTGCCAAATTCTAGCGACGTAGAAGGAGTAATTATAATCCTTCAAGCAAAGGAACTCGTTTACGGTTAAATTCTGAAAGTAGATTAGTTTTGTTCGTAAGCTTTTGCACTAATTATAGAACATTTAGCACTGAAGCATCTGCATGTATAACATAACTGAAGTTACTATCCTCAAAATAGATTACTCAAATTGGCATTGAACATGCTATCACATTATCTCAACTTATTCAAAATTATGAGATAAACACTTCCATGAAGCAACTTTGTAATGTTCATTCTCTAATTGTTAGTATTCATGTTCACGCATTGAGTCAAATAATTTAAGAGAAGCATGACATTTGAGGTTTTTTTCCCTTCAAAGCTAACCTTGATAAGCAACGGGTATAGCAAAAAACTTGAAAATTACAGCAGTTCCGTCATTGGCATTACAGTTACGATATTGTTAGGACTGTAAAATGAAACGTAGAAGATTTGACTTACCTCTTCACCTGCACTGTAAGCTCTTCTTAAGATGAAGGTAAAAATATCAAAAAAGTATTATATAACTAACAACGTTTTTGGAAAAAGGTCCGTGCTAATCAAAATGTTTGTTTCAGCTCAAAACTGGTCTTTAATTTTGAATGATGCTAAATCTGCAGTGTGATGCTTCCAAAATCTTTTCGGACTTTTCTTAAACGAACCAAAATTGGCTGGAGACCCTAATATGCTTGTCCTTGGACAAGCATTCTATAACATTTCCTAGGAATTTATTGGCAAAATCGAATTATTCGTGTAAACTGAAAAGCATATTCTGTCCGCCCTGACCTGTATAGTATCAAATCCCAAAGTGGCAGCAGAAGTGCCGAATAAAGCTGCAAAAAGGATCCACCTAAAATGCTTACGTGCATTGCATGATTGCATTGCAATCGAAAATAAAAACTTACAACATGTCCTAGCAACTGAATTTCGTCAAATCATCCAAAGCTACAAGTTGCAGTACAAAACTTTGTAATAGAAGGAACTAAGCCAATAATGGATTTTCTCAGGCACACCCCTGATTATAACAGCCTAAGGGCAATTTCTTCTTACACAGATGTACAGCCAGCAATATTTATATTCGATGACTTAAAAACAGCGCAAAAAGACACACAGAATCAGTCAATCACTTGCGGATGATGATATAAAAGAAAAGTGTTGAGGCACTTGAGCTGGCAAATTCCATGATGTATCCGTGAATGTTGCCTGCTGTAAGTCAGCTGACGTATCTTATTCATTAAGACTTCTCACCTCGCAATGTCAGCAGTCATAATGATACAAGCGCCAATGGCTGGATTGTTGCGGCACAACTCTGCTATTACCGCTATGGTGCGCAAGAAAAGTGATACATAGCCACAACCACGAATGAAAGAAAATAACATTGAAAACTAAAGCGAACAAAAGGACCAAAAAGCGCCACACAGAAACACTCATGGATTTGTCCAAAAAAGGACGTCTCCAAACATTTTGTTTAATAATTGATATCAAAATACCATAAGCGCTGCCATAAAACTTATATGATAATTTGTCTGAAAACAAGAGGCGCCTTCTCACAAACTGTGTAGGAAAATGCGCCGTAAAACAGCCGCAAACGTCGCCGTAAAAATCATTATAGTGGATGTGAGTTTAGAGGCAGCGTCCCACCAGATAGGGTGGTAGATGGCTCCGGTGGTAGTGTAAATAATAGTAGACCCTTTAACTAAGCGACGACAGAAGTTTGCAGCGCGAAAGGGGGTCTACGAAGTTTACAAATCGCCCACCAAGTGGCCCGGATCTTACGGTAGGCTCGGGCGAGTACAAGAAGCATTCAGGGTAGAGACGCAGAGTCGTTGCTGGACCCTGCGCTCATGAATGTGTGTGCTATGCGTGCTCTGGCCTTGCAGTCCGGAATGGATGCGTGGGCGGCATTTGAGCCTACCGTAATATCCGGATCGCTTTCGTAGCAAATTTCAGGCTTGGTGGACTCCTTTTTTCGCTCCGAACTTCAGTCATCGCTTGGGTAGGGGGTCTACTTTCACGTCGCCACATAACCCGGCATTCATCTTTTTGACGGGACACTGCTAAAGGCAGTCCGAGAGGGTCTTGGCAGCCCGACCAAAGAGATTCCTCCACATAAGAGCGGAATCGAAGATGAAAACAAAGAGATGATTTTCCTCAGTTCTTAACAGCCTTACTGTCTCGCTGAGCCTAATCGGTGACCTGGGGGGGGGGGGGCGGAATCTTTGCACTGACTACTTCGAAGAACTGAGGACATCGCTCAGAATGCTGCAGCTATTGTAAGGTTGATAATCAAGCTGTTACTTCAATGTTTTTGCACCGACATACTAACAAAAGCACTATTTTTTTCAATGCGCAACTTTGTTGAGAAGATGGAACCTATTCGCAGCATGCATTAGGTTGTTCTAACTTTTGCATTCCTCCATAATTTTTCTCATTTTGAATCTGGCGCGCTCAGACTTCAAAAATATGCAAGGTGCAATGTAGATTATAATTAATCAATTGTTTGATTTTTGGTAACGAAATAGAAGAGTTTCCAATCTTTTTTCAAATACCGAGATTTGGAATTTAGAAAGATTGCAAGCAAAGATGAGGCAATTCGGAGCCCAAATCAAACATGTCGACCCACAACTACTACGGAATTAATGTCAGATCCCGGGAAGATGCATGTAATGTTAGGCCGATAACAAGCACTTTTTCCAGGCCTCTAATCAATCAAACGATTAATAGACTAACCATCGTATACATTGTTTTCAAACAATCCGCAAGTGAGCATCCATTAACAAAACTTATTCAGCCCTCTCTTCGGCCAATACGTAACTAGCGTCTTTAGCAGCGGAAATACACCGATAATCGCCGTAAAAAGCCGTGAGTAGCTGTGATACTGCAATTCAATAATTCACCGTATATTTTGATTATAAGTTGCGATCGCGCTCGCAATTTTGCATCGTACGTGAATTTATTATTTGTTGACCCAACGACGACTAGCTCGCGAATTACCGGCGCCAAACTATTACTGATACTAGTGAAAACCTCTGTACGGAGTAAAGCTGCGGAGTTCTTTGGCTGACATCATCTGTGGCATCACACTATCTAGAGTTTCCACTGAGACGCTTTTTGTCGAAACTTATCCGAGGATCCAACAGATGCGTGGTAGCGAATAGTATTTGAGAGTTGACATCTAACATATGGCCGATAAGATTATACGTTGTTGTATAACGAGGGCGCAATATCTTTGGGCGCGAACGCGGCTTTATTAACCGCAGAGCGCATTAGGCGCAGAATTTACAACGGTGAGGATACGCGCGCGCCGCGTTTGCATCCCCTCAACTGGTACTGCTTCTGCGCCTTCGTCATGCAGTAGCCTTTAGCATCGCAAGGGTAATAACAACTACCTGCCTGACAAGAGTTATGCTCAACAGGATTAATATTTGTAACTGTCACCTAGTTTACAATGTGCAACAGTTGACTGCTCACTAGGAGAATGTTACATCCTATCTTCTATGCGCATCACACTAGTACAAACACGTGAACCTTATTAAGTTTTACTCTAATTTTAGAAAACGGGAACAACAACTTTTTTTCAGATGATAACATAACAATGAAGAACTGACATATCTAATTCCTCGTAGTTCTGCCAGCTCTTCCGCACAGCTGTTTTTTCAAGCGATGGCTTCCGGCCACCCCGTTGAAATAGACGAACAAGCTGAATCCCAGGAGCGTGTCCTCAAAGCCTGGAGAGAGCGGAATCTCTTCATGCGCGTCGTTGTCAAAGTGCTCCTTCACATTATCGCGCTTAAGGTAGAATTTGTAGTGATAGTTTGGCTTGTGTGAAGATACCTGAAATGCTAACAAATAACTCACCTTTTCTCTCACCGGATGTGAGAGAGTACTTTCCTCACACAGTTAGTGCCTCTTCCTCCATCGGAACTTCTCTATTTCTCTCCACTGTAGGCAGCAATTCGCGTGAAGTAAACGAATCTCACTCATTTCTAGCACTTCCTTGAACCAAAAAGTAAAAAATCCAATAAAGACAATTTTGATAGATTTTTTATTTAGTGTCATGAATAAATGTAAACTCTGGAAAACCTGCCTTGGACTTTTCGACATTCAGATCCGATCGGAAAGGGGCTGGTTCTTTAGTTTCATTTTTCTCTCTTTAGTTGAAAATCAGGATGTTTATTTGCCTTTGTCTTCTCGTTGAGCTGCCCATTCACTGCTGTCGCAAGTGGTCCAGCCATGGGTCAAAGAGCTTTCAAGGTCATAGACCGTTTTTCGTTTTTCTTCAAGTTTCGTTCAGTTGAAAAAAGGAAGAAAAGATGAATTTCAGTCAATTCTTCATAAACTTCCACATCCAATACAGGATTCTTCTGTTGCGGTGAATTTCTCACTGTACCCACCTAGCTCCAGCGTAGATTTACCAGATTTAGAGTCAGATTCGGATCTGTTGCTAAATTTTGGCACAGGGCTTTGCTGAGCAGATCAGGGATTGGCACGAGGTGGCTTCCAGATGTTGCAAAAAACGAAGTCTTCTTTGGTTTCACAATGAAAGTACGATATTCGCCATGAGGAGAAAGCACATGAAAAGGAAAGGAACAGAGCAAAGAAAACGCCAAAGAAGTGTTAAATAAACGCGCTGATATTCGTATTCTCCGGATTAGCGGCATGATGTCTCCAGCGCGCAGCAATACGCGCACGGAGCGGCGTTGCCCTCGCCATTCGAAATTTTTAAGGGAGCTGGAACTAAGCGGGGAAGAGAGGACTTGATGCGGTTTACGAATCAATTGTAGGGCCTGGGGTGCAGATCAATTTATTTGAAAAAGGTAAAAAAACTTATATCCCAAGCCAGCTCAGGTGGCTTCCAAGTGGTTCAAGAGTTACCTAACTTCGAAAGAAATTGAGCACGCCTTCAGTTCATTTTTCCATAATTTTTTATACATAGTCCTAACTCCTCGTTGCCCATCTACACACCAACTCAGGCAACCAAAGGCTCTCAGCCGGCCCCACCAAAATCTCCGAGCAAGCCGCCGTTGCCTTATTGCCTCACTGTCGCATCCCGCTGAAAAACAATGCTAGAACTGGCAGCGAGCGGGCTGCTATAAAGTCTTCAGCGCGAAGCGAAAGTGGCGGCCATGCCTTATTGCTGCCACTTTCGCTTCACGCTGAAGACTTTATGGCAGCCCACTCGCTGCCAGTTCTAGCAATGTTTTCAGCGGGAAGCGACAGTGAGGCAATAAGGCAACGGCGGCTTGCTCGGAGCTTTTGGTGGGGCCGGCTGAGAGCCTTTGATTGTCTGAGAAGTTTGGGGTCATTTTATTTTCACTTCGCTGTAAACAAGCCCTCTGCCTGTTTAAGAGCATATCGAAAGACAGCGGTATGTTATTTCGCAAAACGATAGCCCCTTTGCTTTTTCTCCCAGAAATAATTCCAGCTTGCTTAGAAAGCCACCTGTGTCGTGCCCTGTAGTCATACCTTCGATAGTCTAGAGACAGGGCGTCAAAAGTGAAAGTTGTTTGAACATCTGACCTCACAAAAAGTGAAGTTTCTCTAAAAAAGATCAGAGAAGAGAAGATGACGTGAAACAGATATAAAAAGCAAAATAAACTGCTGAAAACCGGATAAAAATGCTGCAATGAGGTTTGAAATCTTTCATTTGGCGGATTTCCAAAGTGCAGGTTTTCGCTTCAGAACCAGCAATTGGCAACACAGGGGAAAGCGAAGAAGAGCCAATTTCTCTTTGTGATTGTTTCAAAAAAACATGATTCGGAAGGAGCGGTTATCAAGATGAAGATAAACAAGAAAGAAATTAGCTATGAAAACGCGAAGTTTCTTTTTTCTAAGTCGTAAAAAACGTCGAAGCCAAATTCAATTTTTGATGCGTCCTTTGAATTTTTACTCCCGCACTGACGTTCCTGGGACGTTTCCTGTTTCCTGGGACGTCGTCTGGATTGTTGCACTTATCGTTCTGAGTAAAAATCGCCCAAGCTGGAAAAAAATCTCTGCGAAAACACTGAAATAGAACAAGATAAAGAAAAC